GAACTGCTGTAATCACCAAAAGAAATGAAACTTCTCTGAGTCAATTGTGATTTGGAGAAATATGCCATGTTTTCCATTATTTTGGTTATCATTTTATAATAGAGAATAAATGTAAACAGTGCCATTAATTATATATGTAAATTTTTCCTGTGCTACTTAGATATTGTCATTTATTGTTACATTCTTTTTCCTTTACAGTGTATGCTTTATAGACGAATTCACTAAAGATTGCCAAATGCAGAGACACACACACACACACACACACACACACACAATGACTTTTTGTATTCTCTTGTTTACTATTAAGCAGAAATCAAAGAACAGTCAGCAGAAGAGGATGCTGAAGCAGAAGTGGACAACAGCAAGCAGCCAGTCCCGGCCCTTCAGCGCTCCGTGTCTGAGGAATCTTCAAGCTCCCTGGTCTCTGTCGGTGTAGAAGCCAAAATCAGGTGAGAGAATGGAGCTAGGCTGGAGATGAGTGGCAGGAAGAGGGGCAGTGAGTTGAGTACAGAGAAAATTCAGAGAGTGCAAGCTTAGGACAGAAGTCTGGGTGGAATTTTATTATTTCGTAGCTTTAAATTTGAGGCTGAAAGCCCTGTGTGCGGGTGGGGTGGAGTACGTCTGTGGCTTGGGTGTTTGTAGGACAGAGCAGTTGTCTCACAGGTTACTCTGCTCTGCTGATACCAGAGCAGAGTATGACCAGTGTGCCATTTCCAGTAGAAGAAGGGAGTTTAGACTTCAACGTAAGGACTGATGTTTGATTTACTGTAAACTTAAGTGTATGCTCTTGTTCTTGACCCTCTCTTCATCTTTTAAAGAAAGGAATACAGGATGTGATAAAACCTGTCTGTGTGTAATTCAGCTGTGTAGTCTCGTAAGTTTTTACTTGGAAGACACGAATAAAACTGAAATCATCCATCAGTTAAAGATTCCCATCTTTTTGAAACATTTCTTTCTTTTGCTTTTGGCGCATCTCTCTCCCCATTTTGTCTTGGCTGGCAAGACATCTGTAAGACTCCCGCCTTTGATGCTGGAGTCCTCAGGTTGAAGTCCTCAGCACGTTTACTTCTGTTCAGTGTGCTAGCTGAATCCTGTCTGTGTGCTAGTGAACCCCACACTTACATTTCAGGGCTGACCTTTCTCTGAACTCTAGACTCGCCTATCCATCTGTTTGCGTGACATATCCATTTGAAAGTACACTAGACTCTGCACCATAAAGTATCCAAACCCACTGTGGATTCTGACCCTACGTCTGCCTCAGATCTCCGCGGGATTTCTGCATTTCAATAAATAATACCAACATTCACCCAGTTGCTTAGGCCAAAAACTTTTGAATTAATCCGTGATTTCTGTCTTTTCTCATACCTCATATCCTAAATTTTGTAGCTCAACTTTAGAAGATAACCCAGACAAGTGCTAACTTACCCTCCTGTCCGCCTTCTTAGTTCGTCTGTGTTACCCTCAGGAGGGCATAGTTGCGTTTTAAGTTGTGTCTCTGCTTCTGCTCTTTACTTTCAGGTTGTTAGCACAGTTGCAAAAATGGTCATTCTAAAATGTAAAATTCATTCTAAAATGTAAAGCAAGTTTCCTCACAACTCTCTTTAATGATTGTTTCTTACATTTAAATTAAATATTTAAATTACATTAAAATTTTCAAATCCATACCATGTTCTACATTTTGACGAAAGTTTGAAAAATTTCAAAATAAAAGAGGAGGATAAAAAATAAATAAAACATAGTTCCCATCACATTTTACCCGCTCTTCCTGCTTCACTTTTCTTTGTAGCACCTTTTATTTCCTGACAGTTCATTTCGTTATGTCTCCCTTACTGTTGTGTGAGCTCCGTGAAGGTGAATACTTTTTTCCTTTTTTTGCTTTCTATTGCATTGGTATTTTTTTCTATTGATTATACACTGTATTTTGTTTTTAAGGTGGTTTCCCTTAAGGCTCGAGTTTCTTTACCCTATTGAATTTAATTTTGAAAGAATTTCAAACTTACCATTCTAATTGATTTCTTAGTCTCAGCGATGTGAATGCTTTATCACATTTTCTCTTTGCATCTGTCATCTAGCATTGCATTTTCTAGTTATTTACATGCATACTTCCTATTTCTGTCTTCTTGGTCGTGGCCCCCTAACCTTTTTCTTACTTTTAACAATTGAGGTTTAATTACATGCGGTAAAATTCACCCATTTAGTGAGTTGCCACAGTGTATGTCACTGCCACAACAAGATCAAGTTCCGTCATACTGAAAAGGTCCTCGATGCCCGTTTGTTGTCCTCCCCGATGCCAGCTTCTGCCCCAGGCAACCATTTACTTGTTTTCTGTCCCTGTACTTTTGCCTTTGCAGTAACATCATATGAACGGAATTGTAAAGTATGTGTCCTTTTGATTCTGGCCTCTTTAACTTAGCATAATGCATTTGAGATTCATCTGTATTACTACATAGATGAGTTATTACTTCCTTTTTGTTGCTGAGTAGGGTTCTGCTTTATGGCAATTCCTACCACAGTTTACTTACCATTTTCCAGTTAAGGGATATTTGAGTAGTTTCTAGTTTGGGGCAGTTATAAATAAAATTGGTATAAATGTATGCTTGCAGGTGTTGGTGTGAACATATGATTTTTATTTCAATTAGGTAAATACATAACATACAGGTAATTTTGAAAGGAAAATGCCAGTGTTTTCCATTATGGCTGTACTATTTTGCATTCTCACTAACAATGTAGAGTGGGTTGGCAGGACGTTTCTTGTAGTTCTAGTTCAACTTTACTCTTACATGAGCACTGTGTCCCTAGGTCTCAGGGGTTGGGTGTGAGGGAGACCTGTAACCATCAGGTCTGGGACATAGTCCTGCCCCTCCTCTAGGATAGATATCCATCCCTTCTTCCATTCTGTTCGCCATCTGCAGTTGGTTTTAACCATTGCAGGGTGGAGATTTTTCCTCTCCAGTCTAAGGCTTTTGTTCCCCAGGGAAAATGAAGGAGAAAGACCTGGGTGGGTCTCTGTGTCTTCTCCACATGGCTGCGGTCCTCCCCAGGCTCGCAGCACGACTGGTGCGTTCTCAGGACTGCGCACCATGGCCTGAGTGGTGGGCACGAGCACTGGGAGGCACACAGAGAGAAGCGTGTGAGTGGCTTAGAGTTCCCCGGTGTCTGCGGTCCCAGATGTTCTGTTCTCTCACACTGTCCCACATTTGGCCTTTAGCAATTTGTTAAAAGTTTCACCGAATTCCTAACCCGCTTGTTTGACATCCAGTGGCCTCTTCAGATTAAGCAAGGACTTGTGTCTCCTCTTTTTTTTTATTTTCAAAGAGGTTTTCATACAGTTGCAGGTGAATTGGTTGCTCGGAGACTTTCACAATCATAAGTTCAAGAAAAGTGAATTTGTAGATCATCTGGTGAATATTTGTTGTGTGAATGGGAGCAAAGCTCTTTGCAACTCTCTACATCCAAAGCAAAAGCCAGGAACTTCTCTTGCACCACTCTTTAAAGTTAACAATAAATTAAGTCTGGGATATTTGGCAGTCTTTATTTCCTACATCTCTTGCAGCATTTCCTAATTCTTTAATAATTTGAATATTTCTCAAAAAATAATTTCATTTGGGGTCTGTTGGGTGGTGAAATTTCTGAGGTGTCAAAGAAATCTGGGAATAATTTTATTATAGCTTCCCATTTGATTGATGGTTTTGGATATAAAATTGAATGTTAAGATAGTCAGTACTTGTATTGCTGCATTTCCTAACCAGTGCTGTTGATAAGGCTGATGTCAGTCTGATTCTTGTGCCTCATCGGTAATGATTCTAGGGAAAGAAACTAGAAATGGGGTATGCTGATACAAATTTAATAGCTTAGGGAAAATTATAAATAAGAAAAATTAAAAATTAGTAAGATACTGGCAAAGAATACTGGTGGATAGTATGCTTCAGGCAAGATGAAAAACATGTTTTCCTATTTGACTTTATTTTTCTGAAAGTAGACTGCATTTAATTGCATCTGTGTATATGAATCTCTTAATATCAAAGGGCAACACAGTTTATCATGAAATTGAAATAAGTAATATTGGGAAAACCTAGATAATTTTTATAAACAAAAGGTAATTAGTTGAGAGAGGTCCATTATTAAGTTAAAAAACACTACCTGAACAGATTATAGATTTTTTTCCCTATCATCTGTTAGTGCAAGACATTATGAATGTTCATGGGGCAAATACTAATCAGGTACTGGTAGGAACTTGAATGCTTAAGAAGAAAGATTTGAATCCAGCAGCCATGAATGTGCTGTGAAGAGAAAATATGTCTAAGAGGAGCAATCCTTTCAATTCTGTCTTTTCTAAGATCTCTTACTAAGCATGTGTTCTATCTGTAAGTTAATATTGTTTTTTGCCCTTTAACTTTTTAAGTGGTTTCTTTTTTAAAAAAGTTAATAGATTTTATTGTTCATAACAATTTCAGGTTTACAGAAAAATAAAGCAGATGGTACAGAGAGTTCCCAGTACCAACCACTCCCTGCCTCAGTTTCCCCTATATTAGCATCTTGCTTTAGTGTGGTATATATGTTACAACTGATTAACCAGTATTGATACATTATTATTAACTGAAGTCCATAGTTTTACAGTAGGGCTCATTCTTTGTGTTGCATGTAGTTCTGAGTTCTGATAAATGTGTAATGTCATGTATCTGCGACTAATTACAATGTATCATGTGAAAGTTTCATGCCCTAAAACCCTCTTGTGTTCTGCGTATTCTTTCCTTTGCCACTCTTAAACCTTTTCAGTTCCTTCTCCCCTCCCCCATCACTGCTTAACCCACTAACCTCTTTGTTTTTTATAGCTCTTCATGTGTATGGGTGTGTGTGTGTGTGTGTGTCTGTCTGTATAAAGAACATTCCATTAACTAGTTAAATAAAACTTGGCCACCACTTGTTTTACAGAACTGGGATATAATTGAGTGGCTGTTAAACCCTATCTTCTTCTCCAACCTTAGCTTTTATTTTCTTTATTCTTTTTTAATACTCCCAATTTTTTGGAATCAGGTTTAAAACAAAATTGTTTTTCTAAGTACAAACTATAGTTTGTTGATTTGGTACGTTTACTACTTTAAAAAAAATCATGCTGTAGAAAAGTAGAATTGCAAATGTATAATTAATATTGAATTTAAATGTTCTTATTGTATAGATTTATTTAAACACTTAGCTTGCACTAAAGGTGTAATGTTTAATTTTAAAGCACAAGTATCTGTAGTCTGTCACTTGAAACATTTAAGTAAAACTACTCTGTCTTCCTTACTTTTTATTTCTACCAGTGAACAGCTCTGCGCTTTTTGTTACTGTGGTGAAAAAAGCTCCTTAGGACAAGGAGACTTAAAACAGTTTAGAGTAACGCCTGGATTCATTTTGCCGTGGAAAAACCAGACTTCTAACAAGAAGGATGTTGATGACAACAGCAATGGAACTTGTGAGAAAACACAAAACTCAGCACCACGAAAACAAAGAGGACAGAGAAAGTAAGCAGTTTTGAATTTAAATGGTTAGAATGCAGTAAAACTATATGTAGTTTATTTTCATTGCAATGTTGATGAATTTACAAATAGGGTTGTCACTGAACAGTTTCTTATGTTCCCAGCGTCATGGGGGTGCTTTATGACTCACCATTATCCCAACAAACACTCATTTTCTCAAAATTTCTTTCTTACTTAAAAAAAAAGTTTATCTTAGTTATATAGTAACAAAAAAGAAGAAACCTTTAAAAAACATAACATAAGCCTAGAGGGAATTCATGGAATGTATCTATCAATGAAATGAAAATTTAAAAAATTATAATGAGATCTTTCTTTCCTTTCTGTAAATAAGTTTTGGTTTGTAAGAATATAGCATAACAGTATGGCAAAACCAATAGTCACATCCTTTATGTGCCATTTATTCTTTTTTTTTTTAAATTGTTCAGAGAATCTTGAGCTATCTTGTTAATTCTTACCATGATTGAGCATTAACTTTCTTTCATTCTAAGTGTGCGATGCTGAGAATATGCCTTCTAAATTAAAGATGCTCTTTTTTTTAAATGAATAAGAATTTACATATGTTGTACACTCAAAACTAATAAAATATTATAAATATTTAATTTAAAAAAGAATTTACTAATATATTTATATGAACATATATGCCTTCCTGTATTCAAGACATTATAATTGTCTTGAATACAACTATAATTCCCTAATATGTTTGCTTTTGGAGTTAATATTTATTTTATATGTTGCAGTTTTCTTTGAAGACCATCTTAATATGTCGACTTGGCTCTGGTAGTTGAAGGAGTAGAAGTTTCTGTGGTTGATGAGAAAGTGTAAAAATTAATTTAGCTTGGAAAGCCAACCAGCTCTGCCCCCTGAGGGTGATGATGTAATCATCCAAGTGCTTATCTGGCTTTTATCCAAAATTAAGTACTAAGGCATTGTTGTGTTGTACTTATTTGATTGGCTCCTTCTTTTTGGACTGCTGCCAATGCCTTGAAGACCTGAAGTAGGAAATGAAACAATAACAAAAAAGAATCTTTTAAAAGAATTTAAGGTGGAACAGCTTAAGGAAGCTTAGAAGTACTGTATTTAGAGTTTTGATGTTTAAAGGCGATAGCTAGCTTTACCTTTTTGATCAATTCAGTGCTCACATTCTAATAAAATATATCATCAGAAATCCAGCAGACTTAATAGTGTCCATCAGTAATTAGCAAATTTAATGGACTGGACCAGGTTATGTCTTATGTCTCATATTCTGCCTTGAATAATGGCAATTAATAAACACCTGTTCTGGGAAATAGAGTTGGGCTTCATTTACTTATTTTATAAGCTAAGTTAATTTTTAGTGAGAAGTTTTGTGAGCTTAGATTATTATATAAAAATACCCTTGGTTTAATGAAAGCCTTTTTAATATACGCTTTAAGTGTTTAACAAGTTATTAGGTGATGATAGCAAGGGAGTCAGTGGACCTTAGGAAGTAAGCATGTTTTTGAAATTTGAAAATCATTTAGGGATGGACAGCTAATTTAGCTTCGTAATGATTTAAAATATTTACAGAATATGTTACTAATGAATTAGAAGCCAGATAAACCACTGTTTTTTTGTTTGTTTTTGTTTTGTTTTTTTAATTTGAAAAAGAGGTTTCTAAAATAGTTTTCCCCTCTTGGTGCACTAAATATAAGAATATATAATCAAGGATTCTTTTCTTCTTTCCTTTGTTTTAGACTTAAAATTTGGGGGTATCATGTGTTTCAGCTGCCTTCTCTTAATGTTCCCTCCTAAGCTGGGCTCCTCTCATCCTTAGGGTTGACATCAGAATCTCACTGATGTGTTGTATACGTAGAAACTGGTCGCAAAACCTGAAGGTGACAGTTGACTATAACCTGCTGGTTAGGAACTGGTTAGTAATAGACTGATTGGTCCTTCCACTGTTTTTTTTTTCACCTGTCCCTTCATCAAATGCCAGTGCAAAGAAAATACGTTAAAACAATACCTTCATCTTTGTAGGTGAACTGTTAGTTCTTTTTTCCTCCCTGTAAGCTAACAGTGGTTAGTAATGAAGATATATTTGTAGGAATGGAGATTCCATTTCTAGGAAAGTTTATTCTCAGTTCACTGTGGGCATTTATAAAAATGAGAATTTGAAGTTAGCATAGCATGCTACACTTAAAGACAGTGAGTCTGTGCATTTCTAATGCTGAACATAAAAGTTCTGGTTATTTTTATATGGTTTGATATTTAAATGTACTTACTGAAATATGTTAATACTTTTTTTCTTTCAATGATTCCAGGTATAAAAAAGTTTAGTACCCTGGTCATTGTGCTGATTTTCTCTTAATAGGAATCATGATAAATATCCAGCATACAGAAGTGCAGTGAGTTATGATCTATATTCAATAGTGATTTAATCCAGAATTATGATCAGGTTAAATACTGTGATATCAGGAGAGGATTAAAGTTTTAGTGCCAGTCATCTGATTTCCCGTGTTGAATGTTAGACACAATAGTAGTCATTGTTTGCTTAATGATCTCAATTAATCTGAAGTTTAGGGCTTTGAAAATCTGAAATCCTCCATATGTTGTATACCTCATTTTTATAATGTAGTTTTTGCTGTTACACTACTTTCCTTATTCCCCAGTCACTAGTAGCTATTTTGTTTTTACTTTTTTCTTCTGATTTGTGAGGTAAGGTCTTAGCGGAGAGTTTGCAGCATCATGCCACAGACTAGCTGTTGAGATTTGTCGAGGGGACCGTAAGAAAGCTCCAGCTGCCACGTTCTGCTCCCACTACCTCCCTCTTCACACTTGGTAGTGGGCTTTCATTTCCCTTGGGAAATGACCTTTCTTTACATAAAATTAACTTGCAGCTTCATTGTAGTAGTCCTCATTTATGATAAAGCAAATTAAAATTTCTGATTTTGATCAAGCCGTGTTTTTTAAGCATTTAAGTAAGGCTAAAGGGAACATTCATTTTATGGGGTAAAGTACAGTTCCTGACTAGATTATTAGAGTGTCAGTTAAAAAAAATACATAGAATGGGAAAGTAAATCTGCAACTGTAATTTATAACACGTCCCTATGGATTTGGAGACCTTTTTTTAGTTGTTGCTTACATGATATAATATAGCTACCCAGTTTTATATTTATACCATGAATAATAACATTTTCTAAAAATTATTTTATGACAGTTTATGCCTAATAAATTAAAACTGATGTGGCAATACATTATCTAAGTTGTTATGAAACGAAATAATTTTCTACTTGTTATCATTTTCACATCTGTTTTATTTTATTTTGTTTTCCAGGGAACGCTCTCCTCAGCAGAATATAGTATCTTGTGTAAGTGTAAGCACGCAGACTGCTTCAGACGATCAGGCTGGTAAATTATGGGATGAACTCAGTCTGGTTGGCCTTCCAGATGCCATTGATGTCCAAGCCTTATTTGATCCTACAGGTATGAGCCGGTCTTCAGTAATAACTACTTCTTGATTCTGTAAGCATTTTAATTTTAGTGAATTATCAACTTAATAGTAAATATCTTCATGTAGAAATAATTATGATCACATTGTTAAAACTATTATTGTTAAGTATGCCTGCTTAGGTCGACTAAATTGTCTAATTATGTTTACCTAATTTATTTAGCATCTGCACAGGGCTGTCACTGGGCTGGATGCTTTTATAAATATTTGCATTTACTCTTGTGTAGACAAGCAGTGCCATGGAAATGACACAATTGGGGAAAGAGGAATTAAAGAGCTCTGTGAAAACTTGGGGAACACGGCAGTCTGGGTCTGTTTAAAGTAGGGGTGAAGGACTATGGATCTTAGCCAGGGAGTCCTGTGAATACAGCATAGCAGCCCATCCTCAGGGTTTGGTGCTCTTGGGGTTCTGACTAAATTTCATCCTGCATTTAAACCGCAGATAGTTGTTCAGGTGCTGTGTGATAGAGAATTTAAAGACTGAGATGTGGTTGATGACTGACATGGGTTCTTGGTGTGGGATGGAGGGATACAGAGGTGAGTAGGTAGCTTATTTGCCATATATCCTCTTTGTCATAACAAAGTATTAAAAAGTGTCCTGTGTATTTTATTGAAAGATACCAAATAAAATAGAGTACTGTTTAGATAAAATGACTAGAAACTCATTTTGTTGTTGTTGGAGAAATAACCACTAATCCAATGATTCTCAGACTACTGTATGCATCAGAATCACTTGGAGGGCTTGTTGACACATAGATTTCTGGGCACCCCTGTAAGAGTTTTTGATTCAGTAGGTCTCGGTTGGGATATAAAATTTACGTCTATAACAAGTTCCCAGGTGATACATTTTGAGAAAGGCCACTTTAGTGGTATCACAAATACAGGATGCCGTTGTGTGTTCACACATTAGAGTTGATTTTGGGGTTTTACATCTTTACTTATTAGCATTTATATGTTTAATGTTTATTCACTTGCTTCTTTTCACTTTGACCATTTTAGGCACTTGTTGGGCTCATCACCGTTGTGTGGAGTGGTCACTGGGGGTGTGCCAGATGGAAGAACCGTTACTGGTGAACGTGGACAGAGCTGTTGTCTCAGGGAGCACAGAAGTAAGTAGAAGAAATACATATTTAAACCACAGCTTTATAACTTTTACTGTGTCAGCATAAAGATTCACTTGCAAGAATTATTTATTAAATGATTAATATAAAAACTCTCAAAGTAGGAAATTGTTAATTTATATCCTTGAGTAGTTTCTTCATACCACTAAAGTATAGTGTGTTAAGTTGTACAATAAATGTAGATCTTTAAAATAAATATCTTACATTTAAATAAAAAATTAAAATTTTTAGAAATGGGAATTACTAACTATGCTTACATATCCATTTGGTTGCTCTTTGCTCTTTGGGTTTAAAATAAGAGATGAAATTTGACATGACACTGTAAAATGACTATAACTCAATTAAAAAAAAAAGTTTAAAAAAAAAAGATGAAATTTAACAGGTCTTTAGTCCACAATGTGGGCTAGCTCTGTTTGCTGTTTTGAAAATTGATTAAAATATTTCTTTTCAGTCAAGTTGGCAGTTTAGCTTGTCTCTCTGGCACTATCCCAAAGTAATACACAATCTGCCATCTTCCAAAGCTTTCACTCTGATTTTCATGTAATTTTGAATTGAGAAATAAATGCAGTGTTTACCTTCCATCTATAAAGGCAACAAACCCTATGAAGTGAAATTGCTTTGCTGCCTACAGATTCCCTTTTGTTTTTGAGAAGTATATTTGGGAGAAGCGAAATAGCCCTTCTTAAAGGAATATTAAAAATGGAGTTTTTGACCATAAATATCATATGGGCTTTAATAGATGAAATATGTGTAAGACTTGCAGAAGTGTATTGAGACAAGGACGTAGACTTAAGTAATTATTTAATTATAACATTCACTTTGCTCAGATGATGAAAATGACCCAATTTTCACCTCAAGATTAGTCAACAAGTTAGTGTGTTAGTTTTGGAAATGTGACATTACATTTAAATGCTTGTGTTACCGAATTTTGAATAATAATAATGAATAAGAATAAATTCCACAGTCTGAACATACTTAGATGGCCAGATGACGACTGTGACAGATCAGTGAGACTGTGACTTTAGAAGTAGTTTTGGAATATTTGGGGGCGAGGGTTGGGGTGGGGTTTAGGTTATTTATTTATTTATTTTTAGGAGAGGAATTGGGGATTGAACCCAGGGCTTTGTGCATGCTAAACATGCGCTCTACCACTTGAGCTATACCCTCCCCTAGTTTTGGAAAATTTTGTGACAATTAGAAGTATTACGGGAAAGGCAGTGAACAAAGACCAAGGTGAGCTTTGTGGTGTTGGCCTGTAGCAGCACAGGTTTGATACGGCTGTGGGGAAGTAGCCGCTCTTACACCTTGGTGGGAATGCAAATTGGTGTAGATCTTCTGGAGGGAAATTTGGCAATGCCTAACAAACTACATATGCACTTACCTTTTGATCTTTCTGGGAATCTATCCTATAAATATGCCTCCAATAATATAAAAACTTGTTCTGTTAAAAGTAATTGCAGCATTGTTTAATTTGCAAAATATTGGAAACAATCTAAATGGCCACACCTAATAGAATGGTTGAATAATCTGTGATATGGCTTATACAGTGAAATAATGTACAGCTGTAAAAATTCTGTGAGGAATATATCTATGCTTATGAAGTGGTTTTCAGTATATTCTTAAGTGAAAAAAAAAGTGCAGAAGACCATTTATGGTGTGCAGCCCTTTATGTAAGAGAGAATGAGATGTAAGAAAATACACATACATATGCTCATTTGTGGAAAAGAAATCCAGGAGGGATCAACCAGAGAGATGGGTTACCTATGCAAAGTGTGTGGGAGGGAGGTGGGAAGAAGACGGGAATGGGACTGGTGTAGCCACGGGGCTCCATGACCTTCACCAGCCACCAGTGCTTCTGAGGCTTCACTCACTGAAACCTTCCCCTCCCTTGCTTCCTTCCATGGCACTAACCTCCTGGGGCTTCCTCAGACACATCCACCTCTGGGCCTTTGCAGTTCTTCTTTCCTCTCTGTTGAACATTCTTCTTAGGTACATGCATGTCTTCCCCCCTCGTTTGCTTTAGGCATTTATTCTTGAGTTACCTTACCCATGAGGGATTTCCTGGGCCCCCTACTGAAAATCTCAAGTGCCTCCTCCTCCCATCAAACCTCTGATTGATTGTTTTCCCCTTTACACTTTTCAGCATCACACATAGTGTGTATTTACTTAATAATCTTACCTGTCTCGCCTCACTAGATAATAGTACCATTCTGAGAAGGATCTTTTTATGTTCTGGTCATTCCTCAATAAATTTTTGTAGCTTAAATGAATCGTACTAAAGACCATTCACCGACTCATCCATAGTTACAAAAAAGAAGTTATATGTAAGTGCCAGAGTGTTAAAGGGCGTCAACAATGTGGTTAATTCTATACAAGTTTATAAATGTATAATTGTCAAAAAAAAAAACCCTCTAAAACAATTCTACATAACTGATGGGGATTGGGATGGTGTGATCTTTCTGGGAATCTATCCCAGATTTTTGTTATCTTAAAAGATTCCCTAGGGGCAAAGTATGTAAAACTACTGTTGAACTTAGAATAGGGTTTTATTTTACTGAAAGATAGATGTTAAAAATTTGTCTACCTTTATTAGGATGACATGTGGCTGAATATATTATGTTACCTACTTCTATTTTAAAAGGAAATAAACGTTTCATCTTCCTCTTCAAAAAGGTGATTGTTTCAACAGTGAAATGCAATGACTTTTCATAGAAACATGTGCTGGGGGTTGGGCATTTTGAAAACAGATGTTTGGAACTATTTCTAATGATATTTTATTGCCAGCAACAATGAAAGTTTGTAACAAACAAACAACAAAAATATTTTCACATTTGTTTCCCCCAAAAAAGTCTTGGACACAGAATTTCTTGATCTGTTTAAAATATTCTGAAGAGTTTATGTATGTATTAAGGCCATTTGTTAAAATAAAAATTAATACCTTCTGGTTATGAAAGATGAAAATCTGCTTGCTAAATTTTGATTGGGATTGAAAAAAGTACTTCTGTTTGGATCTCCCTGTTTTTGTGAGAATCATATTTTTTTAAACCTATGACATTGAAATAAACTGAAGTTATTGTCAAACCTGTCAATCTAAGAAGATGCAAAAGAACAAGATACAAACAAATCACAGATGGGGGGACGCTGCAGTAGTCTCTAAACTTGATTGTTACATCTTTAAATAAGATATTTGAGCGTGTGTTCTTATTTATACATTCTCATTGGGGGATTTGTATCTCTCCCTTCTGTCACTTTTGTAAACATATAAATTTATGTTATTTTTGTGAGTATTTAATTACGTTTGGTCCCCCCACTGGGCCAGTAGGCATCATGAAGGCCTGGATGATATTTGTGTTGGTTTGTCACTTTATCTGTAGTGCGTAGCAGAGTACCTGGAACACAAGAGAGTCATAGGAAAATGTGTGCATGAACGGAATTTGCCAGTGAAGGGCAATTCTGAGCACACTGACTTGGATGGAGAGGAGTGTGCTACTGGCACCTAGTGGCCACTGCCGAACATCCTACAGTGCCCAGAGCAGTAGCCGGCTCAAAACGTCCGTAGTGCTGAGGTTGGCAAATCCTCGTATAATTAGTAACATTATTCCTATTTTAAAACTAGTACATTTCATATAATTTCCTCAGTTGTTAAGTGGCATTCATTACCAAGCAGTTCAGTTTTTTTGAAATTTCCCTCAGTTTGTTTTTCAGTTTTTCTGGGGGGAACTTCATCTTTTGCTAGATGGAAGAATATGCTAAGCTGTGAACCTGTGTTTCAGGGATTTTAATTTCCTCTTTGGAGCCCTAGAGGTGCTGCCAACATCTTGGAAATCTGGGTAATTTGAATATTACCTGAGGGAATACTTTAATCCTGAATTCTGCAGAAACTTGATCATTTATTTACCTCAAGCTCCTCTTTCCTGCACTTCATTCCTTGCTCCCACTGACGAAATAACCCCTAAGCCCCTCCCCCAATTTCTGTTCTTTTATCTAGTTCTGAATTAAATGTTCAGTCATACTGTATACATTAAACATTAAAACATTGCATTTAGCATCTCTCCACTTAGAATTGATGATTTCTCAGTTTTCTCCACCCTCATCTTCTGCCACAACCCCAGCCTAAAATTCCATTGTGTGACTTACTGTGTTATACTGATTTTATGCTAGATGTCTTTGTGTAAAAGCCAACTTATTTTTCTGAGAAGAGTTGTAAGTTTTTTATCTTTGGGGTTTTTATAGACTGAAAAAGAGAACAAAAATAGCTTTTCTGTAATAAAATGGGATTACACATAAGAATGTAGGTAAGGAGTATAATATAAATGTAATTTTTGTTTAAAAATAAGTAACAGTCCGCAGTAAAAGTCTCTCTCCACACCCCTCCTCTAAACAACTGAAAATAGATTAGATCATTTAAAATATGGTCTGCATCTTTATGTAAGACGATTTCCAGTTACCTATTTTATGAATAATGTTGTCTAATACTGTCATTTTTTAGTGCTTTGCAATGTAAACTAAAAAACTGTCAAAGTATATCTATTCTTCACTTTGACCTATAGTTTCTTAAGAGGAAGGAAGTATCCATGTATCTGAATTCTGTATTTGTCTGGGAGTCCACAAGACTGCCTCCACATTGGAGACTAATTAGAAGCTCTCATGGGTCTCAGCATAGAGCCATAATTACAGCTGCGACTGACTGCCTCGGTCCCTCTCTGTCTTCTCTGCATGGGGAGCAGCTCTCCTGCCACAGCCCCTCATCCCCTGGAAATGTACTCTTGTGCCAGGTTCATCTTCACCTCCCCCTTGATCAGGAGAACCTGTCCACTATCTGCAGTGGTGCTGAAACGACAAGAGACACTGACAGATGAGAGCCCCAGCAGCCCGCAGCTCCACATCCCTGACCGCCTCACTCACATCCTAGCTGCAGCTTCCAGACTAGTGCCATTTCAAGGGAATTACATGGCAGCCAAGTTCGTTGGCGCTGGGGCTGCCACAGT